TATTTCTTCAAAACACCAGTACTTTTAGAACATCACATGCAGTGGGAGCCCCTTTGTATTTAAATTCTTCTAACCATATAGTACACCCATTCTTAATGTGTGTTCATTGCAAGTTACCCTTGAAGCAATATTTTAACTTTAAAAAAAAAAAACAGTTACCATGATTGCATCAGAAATAAGATATTTTAAAAATTAAACTTACTCCAGATTTTATACTATGCATTTTTATAGAGAAGTCATATGTATTTAGTTATCATCTGTGCTTCGGTCATTATCAGGAAAAAGCTGACAGATTTTAATACAGTGAAGGCAAGCCTCTTTTTAGTTGCTCAGTTAAACTTGCTATTAGCATAGCCTATCGCCCAATAATTTCATAGGAAGAAAGGTTGTTTTGTTTTGTTTTTTTTTAATGTGAATTGCTCAATTTAAAGACTGCACTTTGTTTTTAACTGTGTCTTTGACTATTTGACTTCTTCTGTATCCACCTCTGAAGTTCAGTCTCTAACATAGTAATATAATTTACGGAAAATTTCCTTAACAATCTTTCAAATATTTGTGTGTGTGTGTGTACTCACATGTGTGTATGGTTTGTTATTGCTGCAGTTCTATGGAATGATATGGAGAAGTACCATCTGATTGCACTTATTTCACAGGCAACTGACTCCTGACTTCCTTAATGCATTTTAACTGGCACAATATGAAGTATTTTCTGGTTCTATTTTTCTTCACAAAAATATTATCAGTATTTCACGGAGAGAGGGATATGATTTATAATTTGGCTTTAAGCATACTAGCTGATAGCAACCTAGCATGTTTTCTGAAAGCTTACAATAACATAAACTTCTGGGAAAAGTATCCCAAAATGTCAAGAAAATGGGTGGACATTAGAGAAGATGTAATCTCCCTGTTAATCTCAGGAAATAATGGAATGTTCCCTTCATTTGGGAACTGTCTTGGTCTCACAGAAAGCGAAATCTCATCATTTCATAAAGAAAAATATCAGACTTTAAACAATCTACGCCTGTTCTCTCCCTCACAATTCCCCACTTTTTGGACCCCATTTCTATACTTGTACATTGAACAAATCAAATCATTACAATTTATCTGTTTGTTCTCCAAACATTCTTCAAGAAACATTAAGGTCTTTACATATCTTCTAAGTCAATGATCTATAAAGCTGAAATATTTATGGGAACAATTCAGACAGTTCATCTTCCCTATGTACAAATGAAGTTAGTTTTTACTATAATTAAAAAATAAAAAATAAAAAAAATAAAAAAAAAGCAATTCCTTATTTTCTTAAAAAAATAAAAAAATAAAAAATAAATAAAAAACAACCCACCCAAAACTATTATTTCAACTTAAATATATCTAGCAAGACAGAAACCCTATACAAATAATTTTAGAAATCCACACAGGTTTAAAGAGAACAAGATCAAGACTATGCAAAAAATAACATTATTTTTTATGTCTGTTTATAGAAATCAATAGCATATTCAATTCTGCTGCAGCTTTTCATAAAAGTCTAGCGATCATATTTGTTTTCATTTAAGATAAGAAACATTATTGTCCACTAGTCCCAAACAGGGTATACAATGAAAAATACAAAGATGAACTGAATTTTATATTTAATATCTGAATCTTCCATACATATCACTGGAAAAATTAATTCATTTCAGTGAGACAGGAGCAAAGTCTAAGTGGCTGTAATTTATGCTCTGGCTCTCATTCATTTCTGTTCAGTTAGCACACTTTCTCATCGTTGTGATATTTTAAAGCATTTATTCTGTAAATGAATAGTCAGCTTTTGAGCAAACAGTCCATTAGCATTAATCATACGACTCTTATATGATACACTGACTGAAAAAGATGTTTCCAATATTTCTCTTGCTCATGACAAATAAGTCATAGGTAAGAAACAAAAAGCAGCAGTTGAAAAGGCAGACTGGAACACTTGATCTCCTAACATTATTTCATTTCTATGGTTTAGTAGCTTGTGGTACTAATAGGAATGGGAAGGTGGCTGGACTAGATGATTTTGCAGGTCGTTTCCAACCTTGTGATTCTATGATTCTATGATTCTCTTCTGAAATACAAAAATGATTTAGAACTTACTGAAAAAAATTGCAGAATTGCATTTCTGTTGACCAAATTATGAGCCTATGCCTTCTTTGTCATAGATTCTATTGAATAAATCATCATCTGTATTTCGTTATATATTTCTCTTATGAAAATTCTGAAGAATCCCAGCTTACTGGAGTACAAAATGTGCAACCACATAAAGTAATTGAATGAACTGAGTCACTGGCTTTGACTGTTACAAACAGATCATTTCTGTGTCATACATGAAGGAATTTTAAGCATTAAAACCTTACAGCTATCAAGATGTGCACCTTCACTCGAGTTTGACTGAACACTGCCTATGCATCTGCAGGAAATAACTTGCATTAGGGCTTCTGCCTGACAGGAAATCAAGCTGAACCTGAACCAAAGCCCAGTGAAGTCAGCATGATTTTTTTTCCTTCAATTTTAATTGGCAATGGATCAAGCCCTTTGCACAAAATCTCCTATTTCTTCAACTATAAAAGAATCCTTACGACTGTCAAACATTTTTCACTTCAATATACATTCAAGGGGAGACTTTGCAGAACACACCATGAATCCACAAAATGAAGATCAAGCTTGGATTTCTGTGTCAAATAGTAATCTTTAGAAGCTTGTTGTATTGCAGATGGAGATTTTAGATTCCATGTTGCCTTTCTAAAAATAACAGGCAGTTTTCCAGTGAACATGCAGTCAACTAGCAATATCAGTGAGCATTTATACTGCAGAGAATCATTTGACAAATCCATTTTATGATCTTCTGTAATCAAACTGTGAAAACTTTTCATTTTACACATAAGGAAAAAGATTTTTAAAATCTTTAAAAACATGACACATTTCAAAGTCTTTTTATATTTCACTGTTGAAGAAAAAAGCCCATAAACAAAAATGATAATGAATACACTATCTAAGAATTAATTACTTCTGTGATTTTTTTTTTTTTGTTTTTGTTTTGTTGTTGTTGTTTTGTTTTTAATGTGTTTTTTTGTTCTGGTTTTTGTTTTTTTCTCAACATTGGCAAGTGACAAGAATTAAATGTTGAATTATTAACTGTAATCCAAAAAGAAAAGATTTATATGCATCTCCAAGACAAAGTACAATAAAATCCATTGTCAGGCTTGAAATAAAATACAATCTAGAGGCCATTTGCAGTTCCAAGCCCTCATCTCCTTTGTGTGTTATAAAGTATCCCCAAATTTTCCAGCACCATTTGGGCACTTTTCTTTAAAATGCAGATACCACTTAGTTAAAAATGAACTTGTATGGTTTTCGAGTCCTGATCCAAGTCCTACTGTTGCCAGTGAGATATTTTCTGTCAAATTCAGTAGGAATTAAGTACGGTCCAAAAGCAAAACTTAGTACCCTATATTAAAATCATTACTATTAATAGAGATTTATTTCTGATTGCCCCAGTGGCTTACCAGTAAGTTGAGGGGACAGGAACAGTGCATTTCTTGAATCAGCTGTAAAGCAGAAAAGCTGAGGTTACTATTTGGATTCCCTGATGAAAAGCTGCAATTGTTTCATTTTCAAGGTAAATGCACCCTGCTATTTCCAGAGTGACCTTGGCCAACTGTGTTACCCTTTGTGTCAGCAGAAAGAAGGCTGTTGGTGTCAGTGGGCTTTGGATCAGGCTTTAAAGACAGAGGAAGATTGCTTAAGGAAGAAAACGGACATAATGAATAGTCCTGATTTTCCAGGTTTTGTCACTTAGAGTTCAGAATATCAACAAGACACTTTAAACCCTGAAGAGTATTTGTAAGTCAATTATTTTGACCTTGTATATTTCTTCAACTGTATACAATAATAAAGAAGAACAAACCTCTCTGGCTTACAAAAAAAAAAAAAAAAAAGGCAAATACTTTATTTATGAATAGAGATTTTAGCTGCTTTTTACACCATTGCAATGACTAAACAAATAGCATAAAATAAACAAAGGAGAGTATAAAATCACTTTATTCCAGCTGGTATTCCAAGACAACCTTCTGATTAAGTACAGAGTTGGATGTTTCAAGTATGGCACTTATATAAATAAGAGCAGAGAGAAGGTGATATAATCACAGTTAAAAGCAATGAACTCTGTTCCTTTGGTATGTGTGTCACCATAGGTAACTGTAGGTAAGTACGTAACTTGGCCAGCATGAACCAATTCCATCTTATTCGTGCACATATCAGGAAATGAACTGAAATGTACTGATATATTTTGTAGATCACAACTAACATAAGATAATTAAGGTCTCTGGTGTGTGTGGACAGGCAAACAATAAATGGCAAAATTATATTCAGCATTTATTGTTTAGCATAACTAAATGATGCACAAACTATGTTAGAAAATAGCTAGTAATACACACCAGGAATAAACTCTGTGATGTAGACAAGCAAAATAACATCAGACATCTGTGAGATAGGTGAGAGCAGATGTCCTGGTTTAGCTGTGGTCACAGTGCAATTACCCTCCTTTTAAAACATGCTTACATCTTACATCACAACAGTTTCCCCCACCCCATCCCACCCCATATAGAGTATCCTTGCAGATTTTTAATATGAACATTCTACATGTTTACAAAGATTTGTCAGACAGTCCAAACTGTAAACTCATCCTAAAGATGACCAAAAAGCTGCTCCACCAACAGATAGCATCCAATCTTTAGAAAGAAACTTAGTAATAATAGTAGCTGTAAGGCTAGATCAAGCATGGTTTTATAGCTGTTTTGTTTTGTTTTGTTTTCAGTCTTTTACATAGCACTGCATTTTTGCAGCTAGTTCAGTAAGTGCAGATCCAATACCTTAATGGCTTTCTTGGTGGTTTGATAAAATGCTTGCCTAAGCAATGTACCTTTCTCTAATGGTGTCTGGGTCTGTTCCACCTGGCACCAAGTTTCAGTTCTGTCACAGCCTCACACATAAGCTGAGTCACTTGACTGAGTCCTGCCAAAGTTAGGCATGCTCATTCTTGGCAGGTCCTTATTTCTGATTTCGTATATGGATTTCCTTTTTGCCTGTACTCCTCTCACTGCCATTTTGATCTTTCTCCAGCCCAAGTGGTTCAGTTCTGCCAAATTGAGCACCACACAAATGCCACTGACAGCAAACATGAATACCAAGAACACAGTCTTCTCAGTGGGTCTAGAGACATAGCACTCTACTTCTTTAATGCAAGGGTATCTGTCACATTCATACATGGAAGGGACATTGAATCCATACAGAAAATACTGCCCCACTAAGAATCCAATCTCTAGGGCATTTCGAAAGACCACTTGGATGATATAAAATCGAGAAATGCCTTCTTGCCTCCTCATCTTTGATTTTGTAGTTCTGATTGCAGGATTGGGGATCTCCTTCACTTCTAAGCAGTCTGGTTCTGCCTCTTTGGTGGAGTTCTCAGTGTTCTGCAGCACCCCATTGACAATTGTGTTCTTGATTTTCTTACTATCCTCACGCTTCATTGAATCCTGGTCTCTCTCCAAGGTGAGGAAGACAGTGGAGTACCTCCGTTCCCTCTGCTTAGCAGACTGGTGAACAGAGTACGTTATGAAGCACAAGCTGGGAGTGCACACCATGATGATCTGGAACACCCAGTACCTTATGTGAGAAATAGGGAAAGCCTGGTCGTAACAAGCCTGATTGCAGCCTGGCTGCAGCGTATTACAGACAAACATAGTTTGCTCGTCATCGTACACCGTCTCCCCTACAATGGCCACAATGAGGATCCTGAAGATCACCACCACGGTCAGCAGGATCCTAGAACAGAGAAGCCCGTCAGTGCGCGCGGCCGGGAGCTGTCCAGTGCTGATCGGCCCGGGGCGCCGCAGCCGGCGCGGTATCGCCTCGGCGCGGCAGGGAGCGGCCATGCGTCGCCGCCAGCCCAGCCATGGTGGGAGCTGCCCCGGCCCCTCTGGGAGAAACCACAGAGACCGCGCGGGCCGCAGCCGCCGAACGCGCAGAGAGGCGCGGAGGCTCTCTGCCTGCGGGACCGCTGTAGCGGCGGGATTCCCTCAATGTCTGCCCGCCGCCCCCCTACTCCTCGGGGTCGGGCAGAGCGCCGTGTCTCCGCGGCTCCGCGTCCTGTGCCGTGGCTGCGTGCCCGTTCCGCCCGTACACGGGCTCTCTCCAGGCGCGCACAGCAGGAGCCCCGCGCAAGCTGCTCGCACCGCCAGGACTCTCTAGAGCAGCAGGGCACCCCCGCGTCCCCCGCAGCGCCCCGTCGCCCTTACCTCCCTATCATAGTAGAGTGCTGCTGCACGGCAGCTTCCAGTAGCCTCTCTAGAATAGTCCATTCCCCCATCGCTGTTCATCCGGAGACAAAGACTTTGGCAAGCGGAGGGGATATCTTCACTTCTTCCTACACCTTTCTTCCTTCCCCCTTTTTTTTTTTTTTTTTTTTTTTTTTGGCTTTGTTGTTGTGTTGCAAGGGATGGAAAAAGAAAAAAATAAAAAATAAAAAGAGAGAAATCCCCCTCTACTGCCTGCAGTCTGGTAGTAGGAAGGCAGCTGGACGCGGCAGCCCTTCCAAGGACTCTCGGCTCCGCTCTGTCCGGTTCGGCCCGGCCCGATTCTACTCGGGGCTCCGCGGCGGCCGAACCCGGCCCGGCCCGCTCGGCTCGTGCCGCGGAGCGGCGGACCCGCGGCGGGAAGGGAGGAAGGTTGGCTTTTAATGTCTTGCTGCCTCTAATCTGCCTTTAAGTAGTCTCCGCTTGCGTCACTGACAGGTTGGTGGAGAGCAGCCAAAAGCAGCGCTCGGATTTTCTCATTTTTTATTATTCCCGTGAATATAAATAAATAAATGCGATAAAACAAATGAAGTAAATAAATGAGGAGGAGGGAGGCGGAGGAAGACCTGGCCCAGCCGCCACGAGCCTCCTCTTCGCCCGACCAGAGCCCGCCCTGATCTCGGCGAGGCCACTCCGGCCACCTCCCCGCCGCTGGGATCGGGCCCCAGGGGAGCGTCCCCCTGGGAACCGGCGCTGGCCCGTGGCCGCTATTCCGGGATGCTGTGCCCCCGTGCGTGGCGGCAGTCTCGGGGACTGTGGGGCTCTGCAAGCTCCCCAGGCTTGAGAGAACAGCAGTGTCATGCAGCAGTAATCTCATCTAGAACAACTGCTTACCCTTGGGGGATACCAGTCTTAAAACTGTATTGTTACTCTCCTCTGATCACAGATATAATACAAGAATAGCTAAGGAGAAGTGAACATATATAGCCTTTTCACATAATTCTGAGACTGAGATTGGATTTAAGTTAGAAAAGACACCAAACCCTTCACTCAAAGCATCTCTAAACAGCACGAGAATAAAGTCATCCCTTCATTATAAAACATCTACATATTCCCCCAAATTATTACAATATGTTTAAAATATCTTTTATTTTATAGCTACCCTTAGAGACTGTACCTGAGACACTCCCAATTTCATATAAACCATTGACATCAGCTGGGATTGACTCTTTCCTGGTGGTGAAGCCTAAAGTGTATTCTCTACATTTCCATAAACTGTAGCTTTTTACCTGCTAAACTGATCTTATTAAAATGAACATAAGAAAAATTCAAATCAGTCTGATCATAGTGTTCCTGCTGCCAAACTCAGTAAAATCAGTCTTCTTCCAAAGCAGAACTGCTTAGGCCACTGTAAACAGTGTGGTCCCTTTTTTTACTTTGCAGCACTCTCATGAAACAATATTGTGTTGTGCTAATGATGTGAAATGTTCTCTAAAAAAAATAGGACCAAGCTTCATCAGTGTACAGGACATTGGTATGTTTTAGACACCTCAAAATTTGTCTTTTCATTTGATGCGTGCAGACGGTCTGTGATTCACATTACTGGGGTCTGATTGGATCCCTAAATCTTTGAAATGGGAAAGTGTCAAATATGAGAAGATCAGTGAATTCATCAATTTGCACAGAAAATGGTAGATTTTTCATCTTATCCAATCAAGAGTCTGTTAAAAAGTAATCTGGATTGTTTCTCTCCTACACCATTGCTTTTCCTTAAATCCTGACTACATCCTTCTTTAAACCTGAATCTCACACCTCCTGCAGTATGCGAGTGTGTGTTTGTAAACCTGCTGTTGCAGCAACACCATAATGAAAAAAAAATATAATAGGTGTTGTTCCTTTGGCTTTAAAAGGATTCCAGTATCTAACTACCAGCCATGACATTTTTCATATGGGCCCCAAAGTCTCTCTGTGGAGAGGGATCTGAAAATAACAGAGATCAAAGCAGGAAAGGGAGCAGTAATGCATGTGCAGAAGGAGAGAGGGCAGGGAGTATGCTAATAAGCTAATGATGATAATCCTATTTGGAGAACCAAACAGAGAGAAAGACCTTGACAGAAATTACTGAAGAGCACAGAGGAGATTTTGGTCCACAGTCAAGTATAAGCATTCCTACAAAGGGAAGCTGTTAAATAGCCTCAGGATAAAAAACATTCATATTTTATGACCAGCAAACAAAAAGGAATCAAATTCTGATCAAACCAAACACTGAGCTTTTGATGAACAGTTAACCAGTATTTACTGTATGTGATGAGAAACATAAAGGGTAGGTAACATAAATGAATGTTACAGACATGTAAACACTGATATGAAATCTTTTTATTTATGTGTGTTTTAAAGTTAAATATTTCAGGTCCACTCTTGCAGGAGTTGTATCTCATTCTGAAACAGCTCACCTCTCCTTTTCTAACAGTAGCCTCATATGCCACACCACCACCTTATTCAGAAACAGGACACTTGTTACATTTGACAGTTTGTGGACTTCAGATCTCTGTAAACATGGTCAAAAAGATAATAATTTCAATCTGAGTGTCACTTTCTTGATGCTAACACACATTTTAAGTGACCAGAAAGTAATTATTTGCATTCCCATTATTCAACAGATGTGTAAGAGCAATCCGTAGACTTGTCTGACAAATACCTAAATTACAAAGTGTCCAAAGTTTGAACAGTAGACTTAAGAAGATCTTCAGCTTCTTGGGGTTTTTATTAGGTTTTCCACCATTTCCCTGAATACTTCAGCCCATGATAAAGCCATGATTTGCAGAGGAGTAGGCTGCTAAGAATGCTACAGAAGTCTCTGCATCATGTATGATATTCGCGTTATAAAATCATGCATATATTTCATTCACAAGCACTCAGGATTATCAGCGTTTTAAGTCTTAAAAAGCTCATGGCTTACAAAGAACCATTTCCTACTGAAGCAACAGGACCAGACCTGTCCAGTTCTACGTATTTGTCAGCTGTATAAGAAGGAAACAAAGTTGGCTTCACACTCCCAAGTGCAGGCTTTGGAGTTGAGAATGTATTTGTATTTGGCTTGCTCTGCATTTGAAGAGAATGACTATTCATCTGCAGATTAAATTCAGCATATATACATTCATAACAGACCCTCACAAACCTCACACCAGCAAAAAGAACTTCCCACACCAGAGTCAAGACAGCAACAGAGATCAAACAACCTTTCCAGAATGAAATCAGAACTCTCGTTTCCACATGTATTCAAAGATGGCTCTGCCTCAATATTAATTCATGTTAACATAATACAGATGGAGCTGATCTTGGATTAGATTTGGAGAATGAGACTGTGTGTGTCCTCAGTTCAGATGCCAAACCGAGGTTAATCTGTCTCTAAGAAGCGATAGGACAGATTCTCTCTAAGAAATCCAGCCCTTTTGCCCTGATTTGGTTTTTCAAAAGGCCGGGAAGCCAACAAATCTCTCAGGCTATGCATTCCTCAAATACAGGGCTGAGCACACAGGGCCTGCACCAACACATTTGGCTCTGGTATCAGACTCCCTGCAGCCCCAGTACTGATGGCGTGACTTGGGCAGGGCAAAGTAGCCAGCTGGCTGCTGCCTACCTGCTTTCAGATTGTGTACAGAATCACTGTGTTCCCACCTTGTTGTTCTCTATGTTGAGATTAATTCATGCGAAAACAAGGTCCAGATCTTACAGAAGCATCCCCCAAATACTACATCCTTTTAATAATATAGATTTATTTTTTTCCATATATTTTATCTCAGAACAAATCTCCATTTTTTTGGTACTATCCCAAGGACCTTCCCTGGTGATCTTTGTTTTGCACTTGTCCATGGTGGATCTGAAATTACAGCAAATATATAAATGCCAGGCTTAGATTCAAAACTTGAATGACAATACTGTATTTCATTATTGTATTATAAAACCATTTCTACCAAGTGTAGAAAACTGAGAGCAAAGAAAATTGCAAGCTATCACTTAAGAATAATAGGCTATAATAATAGGCTATAATAATAATAGGCTTTTCTTCCAGAAGTTTTTGTGGAATGTATTGCGCTACATCAGCTTTGTGATTGCATTTTCCATGTAGTGTCACAAAAGTGAGATATTCCAGCATTACTTTTATAAAACTGGAATACTTTCTTTCAAAGACTACTGTGATGAATGCTTTCTTTCTGATAGCATTTGGTGTAATCCACAAAATCTAAGTAGTTAGCTACTAAACTGAAAACGCCTATCTAAGACCTCTCGCAGCCATCTGCTACACTCTGCTTTCATTTGATGCCATGTGTGTATTAATGAAATGATTGCATCAGATTATATCTTTTATTCATAAAATCATCTAGGTCATCTTCTTCCACCTGCACTTCCTCATTAAAATGAACAGTTGTGTGTTCATTCTCCTCTTGCTGTGTGAGTGCAACCCTGGCACAACTGCTCTGTGCATATTAATCAGAAATCCTCTATGCTTTTTCTTCTATGAAATTTCTACAAAAGGCAATTTCTTTGTTTCACACCACTGAGAGTGCATTTGAAGAAAAAAGACTTCGGAAAAGGTGCAAGACATGCATATCCTGCCAGAGGTCATCTGCTTTCAAAACAAAGCAACAACAGACCACTACACCGTCACTTTGATTCTGAGAAACATGTAGCAGATTCTTGTCCTGTAGACAACAGTTTTTGTATCAAAACTGCCAATATCAAGGAAGTACTTATGTTCCTTGATGTGAGAATGGAAGGACGCCATGCTAGGGAACAGCAAGGCACCGGCTGCACAAAAGTCAGGGCTTCATGCAATGTTTTATATTTCACTTTTCTAATTGCAGCTCCATTCTTTCAAAGACACATATTCAAAGAGATGCAGCCCTGTACAAATGTTTGGCAGTTTATGGTAAAATAAGAGCCAATCATATGGCCACCATACTAGAACCAATACAGAATGTTGGCAAGATTCTTTTTGTCAAACCTGATTTTCCTCTTTTTTTTTACAAAGAAAAAAAGAGCTATACATAAAAACCAGAAGAAAATTAATCAT